CTCCCACCGTCGAGAAGAAGCCCCAGGTACCCCGCTCCTACGTCCATCTACCGGGGATTTTTTACCGATAAACTGCCCCTCATGGTGTGTATTTGCTGGAGTGAACTCTCCAAGGGCGGATGTGGATAGGAGGAAGCCAGGAGGTGCCCAAACAGCTGGCTTTGTGAGACTGAGCTTTGTCTGACCTCTACCCGTTGACCTTTCAGGCATGATTGGATCTACGGCTGTGAGAAACCATTCTGTATCGCTCGCAAGTTATCACACCACGCCAAGGTGCAGTCTCGNCCACATCAATCACTGAATCTGAGGGCCTTAAACGTGAGGACTCACATAGACCAACCGGCAGTGTGGCACGTACAATGTGCTCTTTGGGGATTGATGTCTGCTGGTTATCGGAGATGCGAATCCAGGATCCTAGTACTATAAACCATTTAGGTGGGGCGGATGCCCTTGAGGTACTTCCTTCGCGCATCAGATGACAACGAAGCCCGTTCAGTAGACCAGCGTGGGGTAGGCATCGTACTCAATAATATGTAACGCTTGGCAACCGCGCCAGTAATATTTTATCGTGAGTGCTTGTATTTCACTGGACCTTTTTGATTAATGGCGTTTTGTTTGCTTTGTCTTGCAGGCTGAACTTTAACACCGACCCATGGAAGACCTGCCTGCCAGTTTGACCTGGTAACCTGGTGTCCCACCTCTCTACCGCCGTTTCCCGCCGTCGTTTGTCGCCCGCAAAGTCTCGTGTCGTCTCCAGCTGCGAGAATATGAGTTCAGAATGAAGTTGCGGGGTTCTCGAGAACCATGAATTTTTTTGTTATCATTTGATTGAAAGAGTATAAAGCCACACCAGCGCCACCAAGCTCAGAAACCGCAGCCTGAGGATCCGCAGAAACGTGCAAATGAGATATTGCAGACTGGGCATTTCAATCGGATGATGGCGTTCAAGTTTTGTGGATAAGTGTTTTGATTGGAACACATCAATTTCTAGGGTCTCGAGTGCACGAGACAAACACGCCTGTTGTTTTATACCAATCAAGGTTCGCACGCTTAAAGGGGTGTCGAGGAGAAAAAGAGCATCAGCCGGTGTACGGGAAGAATTCAATGAAACGTGGAATATAGTCGAAGCGGGACGCGAGAGCAGAGGAAATAGAATTTCCATCAGAGACATTACTGCTAGCATAGTCGACTGAAGTTTCGACGTGAACATATTTGGGTGAAATGAAGGCAAAATAAGAGATCAGAGTCTGAAGAAGTAAAATGTGCGTACATGGTGTATAATTGTTGTCCACCCCAGAGAGTGATAGAGTTCGAGTTCGAGGATTGAGGAACTGTCACAGTTATTTCTGTTGTACAAATCTGTCGACCGGCCCAGAGTAAGCCGCGTTACAGGCTACACTCTGGCCTTGGCTCAACCAAGCGTAAACTAAAAGGTACCTGCGGTGTTCTGAGTGGCCAGTTGTGAGGTTCACTCGCAACTTGTCAGGTAAATGGAACCCGGAGAGAAGCAGTTGTCATTTTTAGTGACAGGCCACGTTCACCGCATCACACCACTGTTCACACATGAAGGTGGTATTTTGAGAGTGGAATCATTACCATGCGGTAAACTCAACACATGCTCGATCACTGTTGCTGAGCACTCACGATTGGCTGCAAATAGGGAACCGTTGCCCGATCGGCGACCTTCAGATGAGCTCAGTACAATACAGTTTTGCTCCTCTGTGGTGCATGATAAACGAGTCCTCCGTAAGCAGAGGAAGAATGTGACCACTAAGTGTCCCTACTCTTCCGCTTCCACATACACACCACAAGGAGCCGTATAAAATCAGACTATAATAATTCGCTTTGTGCAATTACCTCCGAAATCCTCAGTATGGTCGGGGTGGGTTTTTAGGGTTTCGGCCTATCACCCTTCTCTGGCACCTCACGAAATGCTCCCATAAGACCAAGCGTCTCAAATAGCCTCTGTTGAGGAAACCCTACTACTACTACTACTACCTTCTCATGGCGGAGGTGTTTTCTCGCAAAAGTGAGAGGACAAAAAGCGGACATCAGGGGCTATAACCGGGTTGGTGGACTACTGGTAGTTCACCTAGGACGAGTTGCCCAAAAACCCTGATTCCAAACCCACCAAGAGGTGTACGAACCACACACACCTTCCCGATTGTAGTCACCTGCCCGATTGGGCACCTTGGACGTTTGGCCCTGTCCTGTCCGATGAACTGGAAATCGGCCTCCAATGGATTGCGGTTTTCACACACCGTCCGACTGCCTTGCGGATCAGGCTTTGGCTAGCCGAAGGCTCTGATTGTGAATTCCCTAAGAAAATTCAACTGCATTGGCCTGAGCAACCTGGCAGTATTCGGCCCAAATGCAATTCATAGAACGTTTTTCATTTCATAAAGATTATTGTACCATGATTTGTTTGACACACGGTCTGGCCTCAGACGGGTGAATTATAATACTATATAAAATATAATTTGTACAATTCCGGGTCAACATTTGCATAGAATTTTAGGAAAAGCGGGGCAGAAACAATCAGATATTTTGCGACACCATATTTTCCAGCAAACAATTTGTAATGAACACCGAAAACAGCATACATTACGGGGCTGATGAGCAAGATTGGGACCAAAATACAATTGTTCATAAGTCCACGATGAATAATTAATTTAGTGCCGATATTTCATGCAGCACATGATTAGGAGTCTCATGCCCTGTTTCATAGGTAAATGGTGTCCTAAGCAGTCAAGATTCAATCGATAACCTCTAGTGGTCACCACTGAAATGAATTTATTAGGTATCGTTGTGTACGTTTGTCGATTAAGACCGAGTAACCATTAACATGATGTACATCTGTACAAGCGAACGAAGGATTTTGTTGATGACTGAAGATTATTTCAGAGAAGTAATCAAGTCATCTATACGTACAAATATCAATCGATACGTGTGGAAATGCTTAGAAGGCAAACAGCATCATTTGAAACCGAAGGGTCTCATTTGTCGTACCGATCACAGTGAACGAAAATACTCGGTACCATTCTTCAGCATGAAAAACACCTGAAAGTACTAACCATCGCCAATTATGAATAAAACACCTATAATTTGCAGTTAAACACTCACTTCAACAGTTTTGTTATCCGCGTTCACTAGCAGTCCACAAGCGTGCCACTGAGGTACCCTACCATGGATTCGGCCTTGACTAGTTCGTCTGCTGCCCGTATGACTTTCGTTCATAACTTTTCGCGTGGACAGATTCATGCCACGTACCACGAGTGGGCCAAGCTCAAGCCATCGATTCAACTGTTCTTCTAGGCGTTCACGGAAGCTGTCCGGATGCTCGAACGTGGCTTGAAGCACTAAACCCGTACAAAATCGGTCAAACACTGTCGCTCCAATCAAATTGTGATTGGTCACTGAGCGGATTGCGCATTGCTCGAATGACGGGTAGGCGAGATCGGTTGTGGGTAAGGCGGAGGACGGTGGAAGGCGACCCATACTAAATAGTTGACCACTACGAGCCAGTTCAGACTGGCTCGAGTGAGATGCTCCGACTGAGGCGGCACTGATCCGAGGACTGCTGCCGTTTGTCGGACTAGAGGTCTGCGATGAGGACAAACCGGTGGGCAAAGCTGGTGTGCTGTCATATATGGGACGAAAAGTAAACAGGGATGGACCGGTGGGACTATTCGGAGGCAGATGGCTTGGTAGTAACGGGAACGATGAGTTTGTGGTGAGTAGTGAATTCTGATCTGGAAACAATTCGTTCGCGATGCATGCACATTGGTCCGGATGGTCTTCCACAAATTTTCTAAACAATGGATGGAAAGAAAACAACAACAAACAACCATGGTGACAATCAGACAACGTATATATGATCATTCAGTCGAATGATACAAAAAACGAAATGCTATATGGATCATAGTACAACTTTAAGCAACGTCACAGTGACCCTATTGGAGCTTTACGTGAGCCCATAGTTTCGTACGGCTGCCGGTCTTTTCGTTTAGAAAACTATACATTTCCTCTCGGTTAGCTGAGCATCACTTTTAGGCTAGAATGCCGAAAACTGTTTCTGGTATTCAAAAAGTAAGATAAATATAATGACTAAACAAATATCCCAATGAAGTCAACGGCTTAATTCAGGTAGAAAACCAACGAGTGACATTTTAGGTAATTTCATAAAACGAATTCGTTGGGAATAAAGTAAATGAAGCGTAAACCGAAAAGCTAAGAAGCACTGTACAGTTGTTTCGACCTGGTTGGGTCTCAACAGCAGCGTGAATCCATCGACCCAACCGGGGATCGAATCCGGGACCTCACAGGCAGAACGCCAACATGCTACGCACTCGGCTACCGGGCCGCTGATTAAGCCCGTTAAACCTTCGTAAAAATTTGTATAGTTACAGAAGTTCAGCAACTTCGACAAATATTTACAAAATACTCACGGGGTTGAGCAACATCTTCTAAGTGACTGCATACATCGCTTGGTGAACAGGAAAACAACTGAAAACACCGATGACAACGATGGTTCCCCAGGTATAAGAACTATTATGGGATAATCAGCCCTAGTTAACTTAATGCTCAGTTCGGTTCAATTTTTACAAACACTAACCATGCACCTTTGTGCGGCAGTTTTGGTTGCTATGTTTAGGCTGCCTCTTTGAGATAAAAAGCAGAAAATTGGAATGATGAGAGCAAAGTCAGATAGAAGACAGAGTTCATTTAGACTAATATTACTCACACAGCTCATTCTCGTGTGAGAATCAACCGGCTGGAAGTGCAAGGTCTGATAAACGACATCGTTGTATAGTGAAACACCACCAAGTGGACTTTCCTCATTGATGTCAGATTCATATTGCGTAATTAAGATAGTTAAAATGGACAGAGAGTGTGCTTGTTTGAGGGAAAATATGCCGATGTGGTTAAGATAAAATATATAGAACAAGCAAACAGAGAATGCTCGTCTCTTCAACGGGTGTGACCTGATGAGGAAGGCTACCGCTTTCGGTGTGTTGTCATATTCTACCGAATCTGAAAACGGCCGGTTGCATGGTCAGTTGCACTCACTCCCGGAAACCACAAATAACTACAGTGATCGGTCTTTCGGTGTGGATCTTCATGCTGTCTGTTGATCTTTGCGTGATTTTCACTTGGGATTAGCAAGTAAATGCAAACTCGATACAAGCTGCGATGTTCACAAAACTCGTCATCAGTTTATCGGGATTGCTTTTAGTCAGGGCAGGTACTGAGATGAACAAGTAATTTTGGTGTTGCTTTTTTTCAGAATGCTGACTGAGTCTTGGTGACGAAATACGATCTAAAAATTAAACCTTAATGGCACTGTTCAGCATAATTACCAGACCGCACTGATAAAACCAAGTGGTCGCCTGATGTGTGAAGGAAGCGTCTCAAAAAAAACACTAACAGTTAGGTGGTTTAAACTGTTACAGCATCTTGAATTTGTGTCAAGGTCAGGGTAAATAATAATCACTAGAAGGTTATTTATACACGAAGGACAGGCTTGCGAATGAGCTTGCATGATGACCGGCACACCACCAATCATCCGGTGGTATACTATGGTACGACGCACTTCGGCATCGAGCCTCGGATAGTTACACAAAATTTGTCAAAGAGAGATGCTACGAGTCGGAAGGTGAAGCAGAAGATTTAGAGACAGAAAAGAACTAATTGAACAGTAGCTCGCTCATCAACGCCTAACCGCCCCAATACAATAGGCAGTGTAGTCCTGGCTATTTCGCGCGACGATCGATGTAGCAGAGAATTTTCGCGCTTTGTGTTCACTGTGGATTGCTAGAGACAAATAATGCTAGGTTTCATCATCACGCGGCTTTCGGTCTGCATTAATTATACTCTGACTGAACCGTAAGTGGACGCGTAATTACATTTCGATAGCAGTTAATTTATTTGACTTAAATCAGTCATTTCCAGCCACTTTATCGACTGACATCGAGTCAAGTTGAATTCATAATCTGAAGAACCAGATCAGTTGACCGATCTCTCTAACACGAAACACGGTTCATCCAAGAACACAAGTTGTCAGTTGTAATCTTTTATTTCAAATGGAATTTATTATGGCTTGTGTCTCGTATTGTTGTCTCCGGTATAAAGCCAGCAATTCCTCGTTATTTAATTTCGTTTTTGGAGAGTTTCACAGATGAAACGGAATCGAGACAAAGTGTTCATTCTCTGGGGATAAGCGTTAGGAAGGGGGACCGTTGATAAGACAAACCGACATGAAGTGAACGTATATATATATATATATATATATATATATATATATATATATATATATTTACATGAGCAATTTTACTTACTCAATTAGGAGA